TTTTTTTCATCATAACAACAAATAAGGTAAGAAATGAAACCACTTCCATATATGTAGTCTGGAGATCACTGCGCTTTCCTGCACAATTATCCTGAATCTATGATTCTATGATTCTAATCTGTTATGGAACTAATGTTGATAAGAACAACAGTGTCCCCTGACCTACCTAGCTACTCAGGAGATACAGAACCATGGGCAGCTTCAGACTAACTTCTTGCACCTCCAGGTAGCAGAGGCAGGGAAGCAGCCGGCACAAAGGACTGCTAAGGCAGGCACCCCTGTCAGAGCTGAAGCCATCAGCAGAGAACGGGCCACCAGCCCAGGAGCAAGAAGGAAGCAGGAAAATCAGAGTAAGCACAGTTACGTAATTAATCACCAGGTTCCATGAACATCATCAGACAAAGCAGATTGTGACTTTAGTAGAAATAACAGCTGGTCCAACTCTTGAGAAAATAAATTAATTGATCACTTTCACTGCAAAGTAATGATCAAAATCTCAAGGAAAATATGTTAGTTTCCATCTAGATTGATTCTTTAATATGTTTAATATGAAACATATGAATGTACATTTCATTCTCATTTCTGATTGTGGTTAAAGATTATAAAATGATTCCTAATGATGTAATCATTCTCCTGCAGCCATTAAGAGGTTTTAAGCTCTCACTCAGTATTTATTTAACTGACTACTGAAGACAGAGCATTCAACTCACAGAATCATAGAATTGCAGTGGATGGAAGGGACCTCAAGAAATCACCGAGTACAACTCCCTGCCAAAGCAGATACACCACAACAGGCCACATAGGTAGGCATCGAGCCAGGTCCTGAATATCTCCATACAAAGAGACTCTACAAGCTCTCTGGGCAATCTGTTTCAGTGCTCTGTCACCCTTACCATAAAGAAGTTCTTCCACACGTTTGTACAGAACTTCCTATGTTCAAGTTTTAGGCCACTGCTCCTCGTCCTGTCGCTGCACACCGCCGATAAGAGCCTGGCCCTATCCAACTGCCTCCCATCTTTAGATATTTATAAACATTTTTCAGACTGCCCCTCAGTCTTCTTATCCCCAGGCTGAACAGACCAAGGTTACTCAGACTTTCCAAATATGGGAGATGCTCCAGGCCCTTCACCATCTTTGTAGCCCCTCTGCTGGACTGCTTCTAGGAGATCCCTGTCTTTTTTGAACTGGGGAGCTCAGAACTGGACACAGCATTCTAAATGTGGCCTCACCAGGGCAGAGTAGAGAAGGATTGCTTCTCTTAACCTACCGGCAACATTCTTTTTAGCCCATCCCAGGATCCCATTGGCCTTCTTGGCCACAAGGGCACACTGCTGGCTCATGCCAACCTGTCGCCCACCAAAACACCCAGTGCCTTCTCCACAAAGCCTTTCTCCAGTCGGTCACCCCTTGACCTGTAAAAGAGCTCACGGTTCTTCTGTAATAACAATAAGACAATTATCATTCTTTTTTGATTACTCCTGCCTTGATTTTCTTTAGAATATTTTGAAATTAATAGGTAATGCCCAAGTACAACACTTTTTTGAAAACGAAAAAAAAATAGCTATAGCTTGATTTATAATCAATAATTAAGGAATTTGAAAAAAAAATGATAATAGTGTAGATTTATTTGAGAATTCCCTGCATGTTGCTACTTTCCTGGAACCATCAATATGACAACTTCATTCACTTAAGAGCTGACAAATCAAAACTACACTCAAGTTTTAAGTGAGTGACATTCTGGTGGGTTAGCATAAGGCCAGAGATAGTGAAAAGCCCTGCAGAACCACTCGGGATGTCTATGCAGAAAGGCATTCCCCACGTCCTCTCATGCGTGGGAGCTCCTCGTGCTCCTTGGGGGTGAGGAATGTGAGCACAGAAAAGGTGTGGCATGGATGTGGGCACTGCTCCCAGCCGGGATCTGCTGCCTCTTGAAAGGGATAAGCCATCACCAGGTCAGCTAAGAGTAATTTCTTTGCCCACAACTCATGGGCGTTCTTTTCTGAAATAAAATGATACAGAATGGTCACTGTGCTTTGAGGTAATGAATACAAATATTCACTAAGATAACTTTGGAATAAGCTACAGATACGTCTGGAAAAATCAGACCTCATAGATGACTGCATGAGTTTCGAATGGAATTTCTGTTGAACAGATAATTTGTATCTATACCAGATTTTTCATAAAAATATTCATTTTCGTAAATACAACTTAAGATTCTTTTTGTCGATTACAATGTAAAAAAGAAGGAATAACTGTGTATGGACAATGATGAAGTAGCCTGTTGATAATAAATATTTGCCAGCTCTTGTCACATCTCTAAACATTCCACTGTTACTGAAGAGACACCACACTGATAGAAAAAATAAAAAAAAAATCAGAAAAATCAATGGGTTTTGAGCTAAAGCAGTTGCTAAACACACAGAAAACATCTTTATCCAACAGCCATAGTGCTGTGAAAATTCCCAAGCCTTGCATTGGTACAGCTAAGGAAAATTTAATCTTCCCAAATACTCATCAGGGCACTCCATCCTGCAGACCTGACAGCCCCACTTATAATTAATTATACAATTTCGATGGGAATATCGACTAAACAAAGCTATAAATCATAGAAAAAGTCAATAGGCATGGACACATTCAATCATGTCCCGACCAATGATTACTACTCTTAAAATACAATAATTATTTTCAGGAGCCAGCTTGAATTAAATTTCTGTCAGGCTGGTACAAGACCGGTGGTTGATGAAGGATGCGATGGATTTTTTGGGTTGAATTCGGCACAGAGACATTTATCCTTTTAGATAGGTAGTTTGTTTTTAGTGATCATGGTGCTGTGTGTTTAACTAGACCATGAAGATTAGATTATCTCCAATGGCTCATTATATCGTTTATCTTTTCCTTCCATGTTTGATCTGGAAGATTTCCCCCTTCTTGATGCACAAATGAAATGACTGCTGATTTAGAAAGGGAATGTGCTTAAGTGGGATTCTGCTTATGCCTTTCCACACTGCGTTCACGTATGTAAAGCCAACCAGCTTTATCTGAAATGCCACTGAGGATATGGCAAACGGCAGCAACACGAACAGTTCTGCTCAGCTTCAAAAACGTACTGGGTAAAAAAAAAATTAAAATCAAAATTACAAACATTTTGAATTATTTAAAGAAATCTAAAAGATAATAATAGTAAAAAATACAGAGAAAAAAATATATTTATCTATGGTTTATAGATTAGTGTTACTTTGTATTAAAAGCTACTTTGTCACTAAAAAACCCAATTGCTACCTATTTCCCAATGATGTTTTCACCTTCTAATAGCTCTAAAACTACAGCAGTAGTTTTCTAGTAGTTCTAAAACTACAAGAAAAAAAAAGAGAGAGGGAAAGAAACCAACAAAGTTTTCTCACAGTAGCTGCGTTTTTAAGATTTCCTGCCTATGCAGATATCTTCTGTGGTGATTATATGCCACAGCTGAAAGATGGGCCTTAGGTGGGGACAGCAGTCCCAATAAGTAGGATGGATGCTAACAAGTGCTTAAATAAGGAACACCATTTTCTTAACGAGTCAGTCTCATCCAACTGCTCTGACTCCAAGAAATGAGTGAGATCTTAGATTTTCATGTGGGATTAACCATCTAGGTGCAAGTCAACTTTCAATCAGAGAGGGTGAGTAAAAGGGCTTCACCTGTCTTCCTTGCCCTGTATCTCTGCAGACAGCCCTCCGAACAACCTGCTTCTCTATGAGCAGCAAAAAGATACATTGCAGGTAGAAGAAGAGAGAGAAGGGAGAGTCAAGAGTGCTGCGTACATCCCTTTCCTACACAAAACATAGCAGCACACCGTGTCAGCATGCACACTGTGAACTGGTACAGGCTGGCAAACACCAGAGGTGGGGAACCCTCCATGGAGCTGAGACACAAAAGCCTAATCTTGTGTCTTCTTTCATTTTGATGTGTGGAAGGAAGATAAAATTCAGGCACCCTAGGAAAGGATTGGGAAGCTTGGCTAACTTGTCAGCCAGAACAAATTGCTTTGATACACACAGTCTCCACAAAACACTGAGTTGTCTGAAGGTTTTGCTTGTTTTGTATTGCCTGCCCTTCTGGAGTAGCTCAGAATATTCAACGTGTGAATGCCACTACTTCCTGCACATATAGGCAGACCTAGATATGAAAAAAAGAGCTTAATTCTTGAATCAGTGAAGGTGGGACAGTTTGCACAAGCAGAGTGCCAGGCCAACAAAATCCACAATAAGGCTCCATGTGCAGCATGTACATTCCTGATCAGCATGCTGTCCGTGCTTAACATTCTGTGTTTTCTATTCTGGATGTTTCATGTTTCTCCTTCACATACCTAACCCCTAGGAACCTTTGATGAAATTGAGAATACTACAAGCAGCCGTATAGAAATTTTCCAAAGTGAAGTGGCTACATTTTAAAGTAAAATAACCTCAAAGATTATAAAAAAACATTCTTTGCAGAAAGAACGCAGTCCTCATTACACATCAAAAGGTTTGTGCTCCCTGTCTGCTTCCCCTTACTAAGCCCCATATAACTGCCTCAACAGTGCTGATCTGCCGCAGGGTCTGAGCCTTCTATTTCATTTTTTCACACATTCCATTACTCCTTCATATACTCATTCCGTACACTCAGAAGACACAGGTATTTTCATTAAAGGTTTTTCGTAAGTTTTCGGGAAATGCACAATGAAGAATCAGTAAAGAAACCGTATATCTGAAGAAATATGAAATAGAAGATAGATACAACATGGGAAGCAGCATGAATTTCACTGAAATATTTTTTTCTATGGAAAAGAAGGTAAACAAACAGATACAAAAGTTAAGAAGCTGTACTGTGGAAGAAAGTTGGAGCAGTGACCAAGCCAGATGAACGATCTCTTCTCATTCTGTAGACAGGAGGACTAACAAGGTAAGGGTTGGTAAGGGTTGATAGAAACGCAATTTTTACGTGAGTTTCCAACTTATTCCTTCAACAGTAATGAACTTACCGCAGTGCCATTGTTATCTCTAAAAACATCTTGATTAAAATAGTCAAACAGCTTCTTTTCTAATTGTAGCATAACCTAAAAAAAATAGAGGAGAAAGGTCAGAAAAACTCAGGGACCCTTTTGGATACATGCAGCCCTTAATACAGCGCCTCTGAGTGCCTAGAGCTGCTTGTCAGCTTGCCCATTTAGTTGACTGGCAATCAGTTAGAAAAATCCAATTAACTGAGCATTAGGTGTGACAATACGTATCCCTCCCCTCCCTTTAAATTAACAGTTTGAAACAACTATATTCGTGCTCTGCAGAAAAGAAAGTGAACATTCAACAACGCTTCTATTTACCCAGGAGGTACAGAGGGCATTATGTTGTTTACCTTTCGGTCATTATCGGATTCACGAAATATTAGCTTGACTACTTCATTTGTGTCAGCTGCCCGGACAGTCTGCATTGTAGCCTTCGCACATAGCGTCTAATAAGAAACACAAAGGGAGAAAGGGGAGCTCATTTAAATGAAAGGTAAGGCCATATCTTGCTGAATTTGATCAATCTATGCATCTTCAAGGGCAGACCCAACACCCATCCGAAAGTATGATTTGCCGTAGGTCAGCAGACGAAGTACTGCTAATTTAACTGATTTTCAATTTACGATGGGTTTAAAACAAAAAACTGATAAACTGTTTGGAGAGAGAGAGACAATACAAGACAGTATCAATGAAATAAAACATACTCATCTGGCTTACTGCTGCGCACACAGCTTCTGTCACAGGTCTGACACTGCATCACACGTGACTTGTGAACATTCTCAAAAGCCATTTCCTACAGTCAGTGACTCTACGGTACTATTTGTTTATGTACCATATTTTTAAAAGCTGATGAGTACCTTGGCACTACAGTTCCTGCAGCTTAACTCATTGGCCAAAACGTCTGCATTGTGAATGAGTGCCCCAAGAATAATTTAAAGATCTCAGGAACATTTAACAATCTGACAGTAACTTTCAAAGTTCATTCTGGATAGCAAATTGCACATGCACCATTGTTTTAAATAAGAGTATTTAGGTATTTTGATGACTGTGTGTCTAACACGTACTATCAGTTAACACTTCCTTAGACTCGGGGTTTGAATCCCAGAGGCATCAGGCCCTGGCTCCTGTGTGACTGGCCAAGCTGTGGCCCAGCTGTAATGGCAAGGAAAGGGGACCCAGAGGGCTGGCTGCCTGTGGGGTGTGCTCTGCTCTGCTGTGACAGGTGAAAGCCTGGAACCTCAGCAAAGTAGTTAGGCATGTATTTAACTTAAAAACACACTTTAGATTCATAGAACCCATATTTTTATAATGGTGTTAAGTGCTTTAAAATGCAGAGAGAGACTATATCATAACTGCGGGGTACGCAGGCTTCATTACATGAAGTTATCCAGCATGGGCAATGCTATCAGATGGTGTGTGGTGCTTCTCTGACCCGTTTGTCTGGGCTGCTGGGAAGCTCAAGGCAGAAGACAAAAGGGGAGTTGTGTACATCTAATTGTTACTCAATGACAGACAGAAAATGGCCAAGGTGGGCACTTACTCGTGGGAAGCAGCCTGGTTTCCCTTGCCATAGTCTAGCCTCCAGCAGCTCACAGTATCTATGCACAGGATAAGGACACTGGTAAAGATGATCTTTCTGAATAAAGGATCATTTTGATAGAAGTTCTTACCAAGAGTGCACTCAAGAATTCAGTCAATGAGGAAACAGGTGCCTTTCCTACTCTGCCTCTTTCATTCTTTGTAATAATGGTCAGAGAACAGACTGTTATTTTGCAAAATATTCACTTATAAAATCAATACGATTTCTTTTAATGGGAAATTTCACATCCCACCACACACTTCTTTCTTACAAAAATATAAATACATACATTGTGATTCATTATTCCAAGCACAGTATCCATCAGACATCATATCTTGCTTACAGCAACAGCTTACTTCCCAGTTCCCTATTAAGACTTCATTTGAAAGAGATGCCAGGCACATATTTTTTAAAAAGTCCATATGCTTCCAAGCAATCCAGATCTCAGCTCAGGTTTCCAGTGATAAGAGTGGAAACCGTATGAAAACCTTCTCATTTAGGAAAAAAAAAGAAAAAAAAAAGAAAAAAAAAAGTCATTAGAATGATCCTGTATAAAGGGGCCTATGTGTTTTCACAGTACAAAGAAAAAGGAAAAGTGGAGTGATTTCATTTTTGAAGGACAGTAATCTGGGTGTGATTCAGTAAGGATGAAATACACCTATCAGTTCTTTAACTCAGCTCTGCAAACTGAACCAGTGCTGACCCCACCTCACCGAACACAGCACGTCCTCGCCTAGAAGGCTGCTCGCGATTGTTTCCCTCCCAGACAGGCACTCTGTGGACACGAACATCCAGCTCCAACTCCTATCACCCCAGATCTGCCGTGCCCACGTGCCCAGGCAGCCTACAGATGCGCGGCAAACGGCATCTTTCACTGGCGGACAGCGCGTGCGTCCCCTGAGCAAAGCGTTCCGCGCTCGGCAGAGCCCCGCAGCGCTCCTGGACGGTGCCGGAGGAGAGCACGGGGCCGGCAGCACGCTGCAAGCAACCGCACCGCTGCCGTGCGGCTTCCCGCGCTGCGCCTCGTGCACCGCCGCGCTCTTCTCTCGCATCGCCGCCGTTTTTACCTTCGGCCCCGCTCTCTTCGTTTCTACACGTAATTAATGTTTTGCCATCTGCGTCCGCAGGCGGCTCCCGATGAGGTAATCCAGCAGCGAGTCATTCCCAACGCGCAGGCCCTTCGATACCGCCATTGAAATGCAGAGCACAGATTAGCTAATCGGGTCAAGACTAAAAAAATAGCGCTTGGGGCTCATGTGTCACAAATCAGTCTGGTCGCCTTTAAACAGCGCACCAGATTAGAACAAGCACCCGAACAAACCAAAGCGGAAAACCCGCCGCTCTCTAAAGCCGGTTTCTAAAGCCCTAACAAATCGCTCCATCTTTCACTCATTTAAACTTTCCAAATGAGGGTCAATACGGTCCCCGAGCATCCAAATGCTAATGCGCTTAAGTGCCCTTAAGCAGCTTTCCAGAGTGAATGGGCCAAAGAAGGGCTCGAAAAGACAAGGCAGAGTTACTGTCACTGTCAAAAAGTCATTGTAGCCACCCCCGGAGTGGTTGCAATTCAAGAAATTCATGATTTCTGTCTCTTAAAGGCATCTGCTTGAGAACATTTTTTTTCTGAGCTGCTTTATCTCACAACTTCAGGCTTGCTCGAAAAGAAGAAAAAAAAAAAACAAACCCGCGATCGACTCTTGAGAACCAATAAAGAGAAAGGACCCACATATCTCATTGCTTTCAAATTTCACATGCACAAAAAGTTACCTTATTCCCGGACAAAAAGTGATTGGGCAAAGGTTCATTTCTTATACAAGCCGGAGCATTCCTTTTTTCCTCCTCCTTTCAGTTTCTACAAAGTCGTAGTCACCCAAGCAGAAAACTCGGGGGAACATGCGCCTTTTGAGACAGGGCTACTTATGAAGGGACGTTTTGTTGCCGGTAAAGAAAACCAAAATGCGATGAAAACACGGAGTTTCTTTTTTGGGTGTTCCTTCAAAGGTGCTCTTTTGCAAAGTTAGAATACAGGGAAATCAGACATCAAAACCCCTCTACGCGAGTGATCTTTTTTTTCTTTCTTTTAAATCATTATCATTTTTTTAAAACAAAATTTGTAGAAAGAGGTGCCCGCACTCAGCTCTGGTTCGCAGACACAGCCGGCTCTGCCCACAGCTCTCACTGTGCCGAGGTCTGACAGCATTTTAAAAATAATCCTTGGCAATAATTGGTCTGCCTCGAGCTGTAAAACACAGCCATCCCACTTCTGATAACTGCCTTAGAACATAACCAATATGTACAATCAGAAAAAGTCAGGAAGGAAGGGTTTTAGTGCTGATAGCAACTAATCTACAATTCTGTCTAAATTCTGCAGCCTGTTACAGTATAAGCCTTCAGCATCTACTGCTGCATTCACACACCAAGTGAAAATGTTCAAGGCTGTATTTCTGCATATTTACATTTTCAAGAGATAAAGACATTAAAGCACAATTAAATACACTACACGTATGCACACTATTCTGTTATTCATCGCTTATGATGCAACTGCATTTTATATTGTGTGCGCACGGAACGCTGAGCAGCTGTGAAGCACAGCGCTGCTCCCCGCGAGCTGCGCAGTGCTGAGAAGGGCAGCTGATGTCCCACCCCGCAGCCCTGCTGTCCCAGGTCCGCCTCTTGGCACCGCGCACCTGTAACCACACCAGAAACAGAAAAGGAGGCATCCAAGCACATTCTGACCTCAATTTCACAATCGCCTTTGCCTCCTGAATCTAGAGATGCGTGCTGTTTTTCCTGATGGCATGAACACTCTTCCAGAACTTATTACTTTGAAGTCTTATTAAAAAGTAGAACATACATTTTTCCTGTGTAACAAAGAAGTTCAGCAATTGTCACAGTCGCAATTTCTAGTAAGCTACGTGGCTCAACACGTCTTTCTTGCTAAAAAGTAACAAGAGAAAGAGCGGTCTGAAGGCCGAACTGAGCCAGTTAAGTCCTGAACACAAGAGAACCAAATCCAGAACATCTAAAATACTCTGGGCACTCTGGCAAGATGGAAAAGACAGAGGAAAATGTATAATCTATTACAAAAGTGAAATGCTGCTGAAAAAGTAACATCAACCTGGTACTTATTAAATTAGGATAATCAAATGCTTTTTTAATTATTATCTGGATGCAAACTGTATTTGAAACAAACACTGAGGTAAAAGACGCACAACTTCTGTAACAACAGGAACATCTGTCTATCTGGGCTCCTCCTCCTCTGGGGAGGGTGGATGTGATTTCTGGGGTATTGGAAATACGCCCCGGAAATTTTGTGAAGTAAATTCATCAGGTCATGTGGTTATAGTTAAAAAAGAGAATTACAACTTCCAGGTGTTAAATATGCCTTTCTCAGTCAGTGAAGATATGGAGTCTGCTGCAGGACAGTTATCGCTGTACTCTTTAAACTCTGCCTTTGGAGACCTGCTGCAGGACACTCCAGAACCACACAGAGGCCCTCACCCACACCCTGCAGTAAGAAGGGCAATTACACAGCTAAATTCACTGGTGCACAATGATAAAATCCCATTTAAGTGAACTGACAGTTGTTTCTATGAGAAAAAAATATCCCTTCGACTGCAGTTTTACTCGTGTTAATACGAACTATACAGAAATATCAACAGCGTCTCAAAGTTTCTACGCTTTTTACATGGATGAGCTTCCAGGAGCAGAAATTTTACTCAGCACTGAGACACACATTTGCTGAATAAAGGACAGATACGAAGAAGTATTAATGAGAAGCAACATTAAGTACTAACGTGCAAGTGGCTCTCTGTGAACAGCAGCACTGCAATGAGCTGCGCCCAGGGCCGCAGGCGTGGCGGAGGC